CACACGCCGCACCTCACTCCCATCACCGGCAAAAAAAACGCCACGGCACCGAGTGCGGCGTGGCTGAGCGGTGGCTCTTGGGCGCCTTAACTGGGACGGTCCCGCGCGAGGCAAGGCGAGGCATCCCACTCAACGGGCCCTTGCGGGGCAGAGCCAAGCGGCAAGGGAGGGGAAAAGAGAAGGGGGCAGGGAGGCGCACCTCATGGGGATGTTCTGCTGCATCAGTTCGAGTGCACGCTGCACACGTCGGTGGAGGACAAGTACATCCGGTGTCTAATCACTGCGCGGCTGCAGGGCCCGCTCGCACAGCGGCAGGCGAAGAAAGGCGTGACGAGGCGACTACACCTGACGGGGGGCGGGGAAGAAGGGGCGGCTGGCAGCACAGAGGACAGGCGGCGGGGGCGCCGCGACAGCCGCCCGCAACGGGCACAGCCCACGCAACACGCACAACAAAGGAATTTCCCGCACCGAAAGCGCCCCCGCCCCCGCCACGGAGAGACGCCCGTTGGCCACTCCCGCCCGCATCCACAGCGGAACTCGAGGGCGGCCAAAAAACACAGCCCACACGAGTCGTGGGGGACGTGTCTTTGCTGCGCACCGGTGGCTCCCCTCCCCCTCTCGTGGCTGCGGCTCGTGCCCCGCGAAGTCGTGGCCCGTGTGCGGCTCTTACAGCCGCGCGTTGCGCTCGTCGCTGGCAGAACGGCGAGCGCCTTCCGCTTTGCGCCCCGCCGTCTCACGGGGGCTGGCGCGCGGGCCAGTTTCCCTGCCCACTGCTGACTGCGCCACGGGGCCGCCGTCTCGACTCCCGCGGCGCCCGCGCGGCCCCTGCACCATCTCTCCTTCCGTGCCGTTCCCCGCCGCACAGGCGTCGGTGAGCCGCTGCGCCTCCAGCTCTGCCGCACGGCGGCGCAGTTTCTCGGCAGGGACCAGCGCGACGACGCCCCCGACCACCGAAGCGACGTTGAGCATCACCGCGACATGCACCGCGCCTTGCGGTGCGGCGGGGCCGTCGCCAAGCAGGGCAGAGGCGACGGAGAGCAAAACGAGTGAGACGACGTTTGCGCCCGCCATGAGAATTGCGCCCGGCACGGAGTCCGGCATGGGGTGTGCGATCTCCATGGCGAACTCGAAGCAGATGGGGATGGCGGCGTTTTGCCCCACGCCCGCAACGACGTACAGGAAGGCAAACAAGGCGCTTATCAGCGACGTCCTTGGCGGGGCCCACATCATCGCAAGAATAAGGCCGGAGCAACAAGCAACAGAGAGCAGGAAGCACAGGAGCAGCGAGAATTTGTAACTGCGGCTGTGGCCGACCCAGGCGCCGGCCGCATAGGCAGTGAGCGTTCCGGCGACGATGTTGGCCGCCCCCATCGCCCCTGCCAGCTCCTGCGAGACGCCAAACGGCTCCAACATCTGCGTTAGCACCGACGCAAAGGTCCACACACTTCCCATGCTGATGCTGAAAGCAACGGCGAGAAAGAGGAAGTCGCGGGAGCGTAGCAGGAGAAACCCCGCATGCGCGACGTGCGCAATGCCGCGAAGGTGCTCATTCTGCATCCACCCCGGGCGACCGACCTCCACGTTGGCGGGCCGGGTCGGTTGGCGCGCCTGTTCCGAACCGGCCGGTGCGGGAGCCCCGCACACGCGCGCATCGCCCCCCGCACCGGCGGCGGCGTGTGCGCCGCCGCTCGA